TTATATCTTTTGTTCACTAGAATAGCGATTTGCCTAAAAAATGTTCATACATGTCTGTAGGATATAGATATGGGTAGCTTCAGTCCCATCTTGACCAAGTGGAACAAGAATGCTCTTTAGTCCTTCTCTCCACAAAGTGCATTTTTCGGAAACCTTTGGCACAACTTTGGCATTTCACCATGAGTTCTCAGCTCAGGAGGCATGTAGAGGAGCCACTTGTTCTCTACATACCCTCATCAAACCTAGATTATTACATTGTAAATTAGCATTTTAAATTCAGTAGATGCCAACTTTATCGCACAGGCTGCAATTTCATTATTTTCCTTCAACCCTTATTCTGTTGTGGAGATGACCCAAAAGTCTCCTTTTATCCTTCAGTTGGATTTCTTACCATTCCATAAGAGCATTTCAGGTTGCTTAGTGTCTTTGCTTCTCAGTTCATAGTCTATAGCTCCAGTATCCTTTTGTGTCCCCATGTATTTTGTGAAAAGCATTCAAAAGTAAGTTTAAAAAACCATAATTTGTTTGACTTTCTTTTGCTTTAGAACATAACGTACATAAGTTGATGCTGTCTGAAGGAAAATAAGCAACATTTTTAAGCTTTTCAGACCCTGGTCTGGTTTGATTTCTGTATCCTTTAATCTTCCAAGGTTAGAATCTGCATATTCTGACACTTCTGTGTCACGTTACATTGAAACAGATCTCTAGAAAATGCTGCTTAAATCTCCACATTCTACAAGTGCTGGTCATGTGACCAAAAGCGTTTGCATTCTTTATTATCTCAGCTGAAGGAAGGGGATGCAGTTCAGAGTGGCTGATTATTCCATTCCCCAGCATTCTGTGATAGAGCATAACTTAAATGCTGTTTCTCAATGAGCAACAAACAACACTATGTTCTGCTCTGCGCGGCAAAGCAATTTTTCTAAATTTTGCCAGTCTTGCTCCTGGCTCTCTGGGCTTTCTTATTCCTTAACTCCATTCACTTGAGCGAAAAAAGAAACATTTCTTTGCTGATCAAGCAATTGATGGGACTTTCCTATTTAAGAGAATAGAATTGGGGACACGCATGTGGTGGGGCAGGGGAACAGGAAATGGAAGTTTTGGAATGAGAGTGCCCTAAAAAGGAAAAGTACATGAAACCTAAACCATTAGTACCAAAGCAAATGTTCTGAGTTTTTGCCTTTGTTTGGAAGAAGGTTACATGGATTCAGCCAATGCAAATATTACAACTCCTGAAAAACTTTCTTTTTTTTTCTCTAAGTGAAAGCCAGTTGGTCCACAGAGTAAGACCTTTCGAGAGCAGAGTTGTTCAGGTAACATTAATAAAATGTATAATTGAATAACTAGACCGTTTTTAAATTCACCTACTAAATATACTATTGGCATTCTAAGAATGTGTGTATGTGTTTCCCCACTCTGTGCCTTCCCTTGATTGATTATTATCTTTGTGTTTGCAGGTAGTATGTGGTCAAGATCACAGTCTCTTCAGGACCGAGCTAGGAGAGGTGTATGCATGTGGCTGGGGAGCTGATGGCCAAACAGGTCTGTGGGAGATTGTTTCTAAATGGATTTGCTGAATTGTAAAGAATTTTGTGCTTACAGATGTCAGCCTTGTTGAATATGATATTGCACAAATACAACCAGGTTTCCAAGATGAACATTAATTGTACTGATGGACTGTACACGAAAACCAGGTTGATTAAATTTTTTAATACACCTTCTTGCTAATGCGATTCATTTTTGGGAAGAGTCTGTTGTAAAGCACAACTGGTGTGTGTAGTAGATACCGTTTGGTATCATTCTATAAAGGATATAAAGTAAATCTCATTGCCTCTGAGCTGCTCCTGTCTCTTGGGGCAGAAAGTGGTGACTAGTCACTTAAGCTGGCCATAGATCAATGGTTCTCAACCTGTGTGTCGCGACCCCTTTGGGGGTCGAACGACCCTTTCACAGGGGTCCCCTAAGACCATCAGAAAACACATATTTCCGATGTATAAAGAGCAGCTACTGTGTAGAAAGCAGCTACTCTGTTAAAAGCAGCTACTGTGTTGAAAGCAGCAGTATTGGAGGTAAAACGACACTCATGAATTATAATTACTGGGTAAATAATTTTATGGTTGGGGTCACCACAACATGAGGAACTGTATTAAAGGGTCACGGAATTAGGAAGGTTGAGAACCACTGCCATAGATGGATCGAATTGCGGATGGTTCAGCAGGGTCCAGCCAAGATTCAATCCATCCACGTGCAGGCTGATTGTACAACCCACATGTCGAATTTTTAACATGTAGTTGTTGCCAGCTAGCAATAATAGTCAGCTCCCCCTACCAGGGGAACACAGTACCACAGAGGGAGGGATTCCCCTTTTCAACATTGAATGTGTTCATTGGGGAATTGAGCAATATTGATTTTTTTTTCTGGTTGCAGGGAAGAAATTTGCATAATCTATGGCCTACCTGCCATAAGTGTATGCTGAAAAAAATTGGAGAAGCAGAGAAGGCATTGTTGGCAAAGAACTGCAGTGGCTTAACTTACATTGTTTGCGATGTAAATGTAACAGACAGAACTTTAGTTAAATAGTTTAGTGCACATGTGGCAACACATCTTTTTTTTTTTTTTTTTTTTCCTTTATATTCTCTCCCATGGGAGGAAAGTGAAGGACATGCTCTGTATATTTATGTGATGGAAGTAGATCATGTGTGTGCATTTTCCATACAGTTGTGCTCAAAAGTTTACATACCCTGGCAGAAATTGTGAAATTTTTGGGCATTGATATTGAAAATATGACTGATCATGCCAAAAAATGCTCTTTTATTGAAGGATGATGATCATATGAAGCCATTTATTATCAAATAGTTGTTTGGCTTCTTTTTAAATCATAATGATAACAGAAATCATCCAAATGGCCCGGATCAAAAGTTTACATACCTTGGAATGTTTGGCCTTGGTACAGACACACAAGGTGACACACATGGGTTAAAATGCCAATTAGAGGTTAATGTCCCACATCTGTGGCTTTTTAAATTGCAATTAGTGTCAGTGTATAAATAGTCAATGAGTTTGTTAGCTCTTATGTGGAAGCACTGACTAGGCTAGATACTGAGCCATGGGGATCAGAAAAAAACTGTCAAAAGTCCTGCGTAACAAGGTAATGGAGCTTTATAAAGATGGAAAAGGACATAAAAAGATGTCCAAAGCCTTGAATATGCCAATCAGTACTGTTAAATCACCTATTAAGAAGTGGAAAGTTCACATAATTGTGCAGTGGAGGGAAAATGAAAAATGGTTTTCAAAAGTCTTTACAAAAAAATATCTGCAAAGTGTGGCATGCATTTTTATTTAGCCCCCCTGAGTCAATACTTTGTAGAACCACCTTTTTGTAGAACCAAGTATTTTTGGGTATGTCTCTACCAGCTCTGCACATCTAGAGAGTGAAATGTTTGCTAATTCTTTGAAAAATAGCTCAAGCTCTGTCAGATTGGATGGAGAATGTCTGTGAACAGCAATTTTGAAGTCTTGCCACAGATTCTCAGTTGGATTTAGGTCTGGACATTGGCTGGGCCATTCTAACACATGATTATGCTTTGATCTAAACCATTCCATTATAGCTCTGGCTGTATGTTTAGGGTTGTTGTCCTGCTGGAAGGTGAACCTCTGCCCCAGTCTTAAGTCTTTTGCAGACTATACCAGGTTTTCTTCTAAGATTGCCCTGTATTTGTCTCCATCCACCTTCCCATCAACTCTGGCCACCTTCCCTGTCCCTGCTGAAGAAGAGCATCCCCGCAACATGATGTGGTCACCAACATGTTTCCCGGTGGGGATGGTGTGTTCAGGGTGACGTGCAGGGTTAGTTTTCTGCCACACGTAGCGTTTTGCTTTTAGGCCAAAAAGTTAAATTTTGGTCTCATCTGACCAGAGCACCTTCTTCCACATGTTTGCTGTGTCCCCCACATGGCTTCTCTCACAAACTGCAAATAGTACTTCTTATGGCTTTCTTTCAACAATGGCTTTCTTCTTGCCACTCTTCCATAAAGGCCAGATTTGTGAAGTGCACGACTAATAGTTGTCCTGTGGACAGATTCTCCCACCTGAGCTGTGGATCTCTGCAGCTCCTCCAGAGTTACCATGGACCTCTTGGCTGCTTCTCTGATTAATGTTTTCCTTGTCTGGCCTGTCCGTTTAGGTGGACAGCCATGTCTTGGTAGGTTTGCAGTTGTGTGCCATACTCTTTCCATTTCAGATGATGGATTGAACAGTTCTCCGTGAGATGTTCAAAGCTTGGGATATTTTTTTATAACCTAAACCTGCTAAAACTTCTCCACAACTTTATCCCTGACCTGTCTGTTGTGTTCCTTGGCCTTCGTGATGCTGTTTGTTCACTTTAGTTCTCTAACAAACCTCCGAGGGCTTCACAGGACAGCTGTGTTTATACTGAGATTAAATTACACACAGGTGGACTCTTATTTACTAATTAGGTGACTTCAGAAGGCAATTGGTTCCACTAGATTTTATTTAGGATATCAGAGTAAAGGGGGCTGAATACAAATGCATCCCACACTTTTCAGATATTTATTTGTAAAAAATTTTGAAAACCATTTATCATTTTCCTTCCATTTCACAATTCTGTGCCACTTTTGTGTTGGTCTATCACATAAAATCCCATTAAAATAAATTGACGTTTTTGGTTGTAACATGACAAAAAGTGGAAAATTTCAAGGGGTATGAATACTTTTTCAAGGCTCTGTTTATGGTATCATAGACCTGCTGTGCTATTGTGCTTCCTAAATGCTAATCCTTGTAAACTGCCATTGTGAAGGCTCTCAGCAGATGCTATTTACACAGTGCAGATGATGGAATTCTGACAGGGTTGGTAAACTAGAGGATGATTGATGAGCAAGTAGAAATACTATATCTTTTACCTTTTTTCTATGTAAAAAAAACAAAACAAACAAAGAGTACACTGTTGAGAAATAGGTTGATATATTTATCATGTTTTGCTAGGCCTTGGTCATCACAACACTTGCAGTGTTCCTACAAAGTTGTCTGGGGATTTGGCTGGTGTGAATGTTGTCCATTTGGCAACTTATGGAGATTGCTGTCTGGCTGTATCAGAAGAGGGTCAGGTGTTTGGCTGGGGAAATTCGGAGTACTTGCAGCTTGCATCCATCACTGAACTTACACAGGTAAGGTACATCTTTTGGCAGGGATATATGGTTATAAAAGCTTGTCATTTCATGGATAATAGTGTTTACAGGAAGTAAATGGTTAGCTGCTCATTACCTTTTACAAAGTCTTCTGTAAGCAGTTATTAGGGATGATGCATTTGTTGTACCATATATCTTCAGAAAAAAACACAGTTTAGCATGTTTGACAATTTATCTTATTGACACATCAGTAAAAATAATCCAGTTTGTGTGCACAATAAATAAAAATCTAGTTTAATCTCTATACAAATGTCTCTTCAACAAATGCAAGTCAGTCCATAAGTTAATACATTAGCAAGTCCCACTTTCTAGCAGAAGGCTCTTCTTTTCCATTTTCTTTTTTTTTTTTTTTTTTTGCATAAACAAGAGCAGTGGCTGCATACCATTTTTTATTTTGTGGTTGCTGGGTGCAGAATGTCGATTGCTCATTAACAGAAACCCTCAAACGGGTTAAAGATTGGAGACCTGCCACCTGTTTCCTACTTTAGACCCATACTGTGAAATCCATGTAGAAGCGGCAGAAAGAACTCTTTCAACCACAATAGAGAAACACACCCTTTCACATTTGGAGTTAAAGGGGATGTCATGGTATAATTTATAGTTGCATCTATAGACTTATACAGTACATAAAGTCTGATCAAGCTTGTTACAGTAAATGAATTTTCTTGGTATACAGATTGTGATATCTACAGTAAATACACGTGAATGACATATTTAGCATTTTAAGCACTGTAAGAATCATCAGGTTCAGTGCTGTAACTGTAGAATGAGGAGAATTACACCTTCAAGAAATTAACATATCTTAGAGGATGAGATCCATTGTGTAGTCAGAATGGCTTTCTAGAAAAGCTGTTAGTTTCAAACAAAGTTCTCAACCTTTTTGTTTCTTGCACTTACCCTTATGTAGGTCAATGTTCCACGGTGTCTACCATTTCAGCATGTTGGGAAGGTGAAGCAGGTGGCGTGCGGTGGACCAAGCTGTGCTCTATTAAATGGTAAGTGTAAAGCTCCACTTTTCATTTTGATGGGTTATGTTATATTGTTTTATTTGTTTTGTTTTTTATACAGGTGACCAGGGGCGGACTGACAACTCATGGGGACCCCGGGCAATAGGGGATCATGGGGCCCCTGTATCCTTGCCCAAATTTAAAAAAGCCTATAAAAAAAGGTACCAGGGGCATCTCATGGGGCCCCCTACTGACCCCAGGCCCTCGGGCAATGCCCGAGTTTCCAAATGGTCAGTCCGCCCCTGCAGGTGACATTTCATTTAAGGGCATTTTCAAATCAAATTGTCAATTGAAAAGGAATTGTCTGTATGAGGTAATCAATCTATTAAAAGTTGTTTATACTGTACATGGACATTTTTACTCTTTAGAAGCAATCTGGACAGGTAAAAGTACTTTTTATGCTACACAGAGGGAATTTACAGAGTGGTGCAAGAACAAGCTTGCATCACTCTTCTACACTTAGAAAATGGTGCATCTAATGAACAAAAGAGGCGCAAGTTCTTTTTGTTAATTAGTACTGATCTGCTCCATGTTCTACGCTTTGTCTATCCCAGCACATAACAATATGCTCACACCCCTAGAATGCTGAGAATACATTGCATGGAACTGGATGGGAAATTTAGGCCGCTTCATAAGATCAATAGTGTATGTGGTCCTGTGAGTCTCTTGGAGGCAGACGATGGTGGGGTTCTGGTGGCAGATGGAAGTAAAGACAGTTCTCTTCTTAGGGTCATGCAGGCCACGAACATTCCAAGAGAGAATATTGTCCTTTATATCGACTCATGACCGACAAGAGAGGAGTGATAAAACTGGTATCGATCCTTACGAGGTAGCTTCCAGTATCCAGGAGAAAATAAGAGGTTACTGTCACAGAGAAAGGGAGCTTTCATCTGTGGAGGCCTAGGCAGATGTATTTGCTGTGTTGTAGGTGAGAATGGAAGGAGAGCAGAGGCTGGTCACTCCGTCAGAGACAATTTTAAAAAAAGAGAAATTTCACATCCTGGGCCCAAGGAGGCCAAAGCCAGAAACTTCCCGCAGGGTTGCTCAGGAGAAAAGCAAAACAGCTAGAGCCGACTTTCCGAAAGGAACAGCCATGTGAGTAGAGTGCAACAACTATTACTCGAAAAAATCCTGTAGCTCCAAAAAAAAACAAAGTAGAAGACTATGTGTCAGGTGCATAACTGTGACACCGAGTCATGTGTAATCAGGAAGGAGCTGGTCGTAGTTGCCTTTTTATTATGGTCAAGCCAATGAGCTGCAGATGAGGAGTCTAAGAACTGTGAGACCCCTCTGCTATCACTCACAATTTAGCTGGGTATAGCATGAAGCAGGAGACTTGGAGACCCCGCATGCAGTGTTTGACGTCAATTAATTTAGCAAGTCATCGTTGGATTTCAGCGGAGAAGTCGGGAAAGATAGAGATTCCCCCCCCCGAATCTCCATATTGGGTTTTTTGTCTGGCCAGTCTGAGAATAATATATCTTTATAGTGCAGAAGTTTCACCCAGCCAATAACAGTAGCTGGAGCTGCATATTCCAGATTCCTCTGTCTGTGACCACCCTCCACCTGAGCTCACATTCTATATTATTTATTACAGGTACTTTATATAGCGTCGTCATATTACCCAATACTTTACAGATACAGTACATTGCACATTCAAGTCAGGCCTTGTCCCCTAAGAGCTTACAATCTAAGGTCCCTAACTCACATTCATACACACACATACATGCCAATTTAGACAGGATCCAGTTACCTAAGCAATTACCCTGTCTTTGGAGTATGGAAGGAAACCGGACTACCCGGAGGAAAACCACGCAGGCACAGGGAGAACATGCACACTCCAGGCAGGTATGCCATGGTTGTGATTCGAACCAATGACCCAAGTGCCACTAAGTGGAAGTGCTAACCACTTAGCCACTGTGCTGTAGGTCATCTCTGGAGTTGCTAGAGACCTACTTCAATGTTCTTTACAGAAAACAGATGTGATCTCTTTGTTAGTTACAGAACCAACTGCAGTTTCTATTTCACTCTGACATAGAAACTGGCATGGGTGACCCAGATATACCTAAAACAGATCTATCTGCTTAGTTAATGTGGTGGATTCCACTATAGATAGTGTCTTGAAAGCTTAGTGAATTCCCCGGTCTGCCTGCATGGATGTACAGTATGTGTCATGTTAGACGAGTTTAATCTTTTGCTTCCTGCTTTTCCAAGGCACTGGTGATGTAGCTGGGGCTGAACTGTTGCCCATTGGGAAGGTTATGTCACCAGTGTCTTCCAGAGAGCTGGAACTGCAAGAGTTCGCAAGATCTTGGGTGGTTAGGTAAGGGCCTTTTTTGTTTACATGTCAGGCAGTGGCTTCCAGCTTTGTGCTGGCTTAAGCGATCTACAATAGGTTTTATTATTGTTTATACATTGCCATGAAGCTCACATTGCTAAAACCATGGCAATGTCTAAAGAATAATAAACCGCATCAGATGTCATGCGGACATGTGCGAGATCTAGTTCTGACATCATTGGTCAGCAAGCCCAATGCTGTATTTTCTGAAAATGGTGATGGGGGTTTCCAAGCATGGGGTGGACCAATCAATGGGTTTGGGGAAAAATGACAAATAAGAGGTGATCTCACAACAGAGTGGTATGTAAAATGACTCTTTTTTATTAAGAATGGCTGTGTAATTGTGGTCCGATGGAAGCAGCTGGTTTTTTTTTTTTTTGTTTCCTTTTTGTTTTTTTTTGGTTTTTAAAGAAGTTCAAGTTTTGTAACATGTTACACTCTTACTTGGGGTGTAAAATGTTACAATTGAACTGGCCCCTGCACCATTCTCCCCAAATCCACCATTGTGACAGCTAGCGGGGGATCTTCTTTCTCCCCCTGCTGGTTGTCACAATCTGGAAAAAAAAGTGACCACGTGGGGCTCTGCCTGCCCAGCCGTGTCATCCATTCGCAGTGTTTGCGGCTGTCTGCTTGTAGTTCTTAATGAACTACCATAGCGCTGTAGTAGTAGTTTATTCTCTCTTCCTGTCAGTGTGTATCTGCTTGCTCGTGTGAGGTACAAACAGACAGATATACTGACAAATCTGCAGGAGTTTTGCATGGCACCAGTGAACTGCTGATCACAGATGCAATGCTTTACAGGCACCAAGTAAAAAAAAAAAAAAAAAGGGGGTGAATTTATCCCTTAACTTACTGCTGCTTTATTAAATCCAGTCTTTGAAACCAGTGAGTCATAGAATACATTTAGCTTGACTGCTGCAAAACTAGAACTTGCTAAGCTAGCACATTGAACTAGTATGAATTGTGTAATGGCTGCTTTGAACAGCACCTAACCACAAAGGTGTTATGTGACATATTCTATTTTTTAACTCAGCTTGTCATAGACATTTGTTTCTTATTCCTTATTACCTATTGTCAAGAAACCCTGGGACAACTGGAGTCAGAAGTGTCTGTGGCTTGGGTGGACACCTCATTACTAAACTGTTGGTAGACATGGAATGCTGGTACAAAAAGCTCTATGCATGTACTGTCACATACTGTGCACCCCTTGGAGCCCCAGAACCCAAGGCATACTGATATGTAGCTATCTTGTGGTCAAGCTTGGATCCCACACCCCCTCCACAGCTTTCTTTTGGTTAGCAAGGCAACCCTTCATTATCATGGACTGCTATTGAGGGGTAGAAAGAGGTTGCCCCCCCCCCCCCCCCCAGTTACATATTTTTTATGATTGAGCTTGCATGTTTCACAGTCCCTAGGGCACTCTGCAAGCTATGTGACAGTATATACAAGTAACTCTTGGTGTCTGGTGTTTCGCAAACTCACGTTTGCCTGAATTGTATGCTTTGATTCATACTAGTGACATGGACTTTCTATTAACTTTTGTCAGATTCAAGTGTTTCATACTCTTAAGAATTCTTTGCTGTATATGTAAGAGCTTGGTTACAAATATCTGCAAATGTTTGCACAAGAAGAAAATGCATAATACTGAAAGAACGTAGTTTGTTTGAGGTAACTGGTGGTGTTTAAACTTATTTCATATATATATTGGTTCTTCTTTTAGATGATGGCAATGTTTTTGTTTGGGGTTATGGAATACTGGGGAAAGGGCCAAAATTTCTGGAGTCGGCTGTCCCTGAGATGATTCCTCCAACACTATTTGGTCAGAGTGACTTTAACAAAAACACCAGGGTCTTGAAGATCTTTTCAGGGCTCGGCCATTTTGCTGCTTTAACAGGTATGTATCACCAGGAAAGGTTTGTAAAAAGCTGCTTGCTAGACATTAGAAATACACTGATCATCCATAACTACAGTCAGGTCCATAAATATTGGGACATCGACACAATTCTAACATTTTTGGCTCTATACACCACCACAATGGATTTGAAATGAAACAAACAAGATGTGCTTTAACTGCAGACTGTCAGCTTTAATTTGAGGGTGTTTACATCCAAATCAGGTGAACGGTGTAGGAATTACAACAGTTTGCATATGTGCCTCCCACTTGTTAAGGGACCAAAAGTAATGGAACAATTGGCTTCTCAGCTGTTCCATGGCCAGGTGTGTGTTATTCCCTCATTATCCCAATTACAATGAGCAGATAAAAGGTCCAGAGTTCATTTCAAGTGTGCTATTTACATTTGGAATCTGTTGCTGTCAACTCTCAAGATAAGATCCAAAGAGCTGTCACTGTTTGGATCTCATCAACAAACCCATCAGAGAGATAGCAAAAACATTAGGCGTGGCCAAAACAAGTGTTTGGAACATTCTTAAAAAGAAGGAACTAACCGCTGAGCTCAGCAACACCAGAAGACCACGGAAAACAACTGTGGTGGATGACAGAAGAATTCTTTCCCTGGTGAAGAAAACACCCTTCACAACAGTTGGCCAGATCAAGAACACTCCCCAGGAGGTAGGTGTATGTGTGTCAAAGTCAACAATCAAGAGAAGACTTCACCAGAGTGAATACAGAGGGTTCGCCACAAGATGTAAACCATTGGTGAGCCTCAAAAACAGGAAGGCCAGATTAGAGTTTGCCAAACGACATCTAAAAAAGCCTTCACAGTTCTGGAACAACATCCTATGGACAGATGAGACCAAGATCAACTTGTACCAGAGTGATGGGAAGAGAAGAGTATGGAGAAGGAAAGGAACTGCTCATGATCCTAAGCATACCACCTCATCAGTGAAGCATGGTGGTGGTAGTGTCATGGCGTGGGCATGTATGGCTGCCAATGGAATTGGTTCTCTTGTATTTATTGATGATGTGACTGCTGACAAAAGCAGCAGGATGAATTCTGAAGTATTTCAGGCAATATTATCTGCTCATATTCAGCCAAATGCTTCAGAACTCATTGGACCGCTTCACAGTGCAGATGGACAATGATCCAAAGCATACTGCAAAAGCAACCAAAGAGTTTTTTAAGGGAAAGAAGTGGAATGTTATGCAATGGCCAAGTCAATCACCTGACCTGAATCTGATTGAGCATGCATTTCACTTGCTGAAGACAAAACTGAAGGGAAAATGCCCCAAGAACAAGCAGGGACTGAAGACATTTGCAGTAGAGGCCTGGCAGAGCATCACCAGGAATGAAACCCAGCGTCTGGTGATGTCTATGCGTTCCAGACTTCAGGCTGTAATTGACTGCAAAGGATTTGCAATCAAGTATTAAAAAGTGAAAGTTTGATTTATGATTATTATTCTGTCCCATTACTTTTGGTCCCTTAACAAGTGAGAGGCACATATGCAAACTGTTGTAATTCCTACACCGTTCACCTGATTTGGATGTAAATACCCTCAAATTAAAGCTGACAGTTGCAGTTAAAGCACATCTTGTTCGTTTCATTTCAAATCCATTGTGGTGGTGTATAGAGCCAAAAATGTTAGAATTGTGTCGATGTCCCAATATTTATAGGACCTGACTGTATATGACCACTGACTGGTTAAGTGAATAACATTGATTATCTTATTACAATGACATCTGAAAGTCAGTGGAATATATTGGGCAGCAAGTAAGCCTGTTGCCCCTGAAGTTGCTGGGCATCACAGTTTGTGGTGTAAGGGACTGCATAGCCACACAGTGGTCAGGGTGCCCATGCTGACCTGTGTCCACAGCCATACTTGCCTACAATGGGCATGTGAGCATCAGAACTGGACCACAGAGCCAATGGCCTGGTCTGATGAATTAGGTTTTTTTTTTTTTTTTTTTTTTACATCACGTGGATGGCCAGGTGTGTGTGCGTCTCTTACCTGGGGAAGAGATGGCTCAAGTATGCAGTATGGGAAGAAGGCAAGCAGGTGGAGGCAGTATATTGTTTAGGGTAATATTCTGCTGGGAAACCCTAGACCCTGCCATTCATGTGGATGTTACTTGACATGTTCCACCTACCTAAACATTGCTGCTGACCAAGTACACCCCTTCATGGAAACAGTATTCCCTGATGGCAGTGGCCTCTTTCAGCAGAATAATACTCCCTGCCACACTGCAAAAATGGTTCAAGGAACACAACAACATGGTTGAGGTGTTCACATGGTCTCCAAATTCTTCAGATGTAGAAAAACAAGTCTGATCCATAGAGGTCCCACCTTGCAACTTAAAATATCTGTTAGTGTAAGCTTGGTGCCAGATACCACAGCATACCCTCAGAGATCTAGTGGTGCCCAATGCCTCAATGATTCAGGGCTGTTTTGGTGGTGAAAGGGGTACCTACTCAGTATTAGGTGTGCAATCATAAAGTTGTGGCTGACTGGTGTATATCCATGGACCCACACTGGGAACTTTAGGCTGAATTTCAGCACCCCCCTCCCCCCCCCCCCCCCCCCCGATTTGGTAAGCAAGGGTTAGATGGCCATTTATCTGAATAATAAAAATACAGATAATTTCTAAACTTTATTTTTTGATCATATTAATCTGTCAATATACTTTATGTACTCTTGTTGCAAATGATGTAAGCTACTGAAATAGTCTTTTTCTTTAAATCTAAAATTAAAATGAGTTCAGTGTTTTTTGTCTGATACTGGTCAATTTTATTTTCAATTTATGTACAGATATCGGAGAACTTTTTGTTTGGGGTAAAAACTTGAGAGGTTGCTTAGGTACTGGAAGGATGGAAGATCAGTATTTTCCCTGGCGGGTAAGAGCAAAATAGACTGTAGTCTAGACTTTGTGGATATATACAAATCTATCTAGGACAACATTTATTTATTTATTTCAGGTACTTATATAGCGCCATCAATTTACACAGAACTTTACATACATATATTGTACATTCACATCAGTCCCTAACCCTCGAGGGGCGTACAATTTAAAGTTCCTAACTTACATTCATACATACTAGGGCTAATTTAGACAGCAGTCAAATCACCTACCAGCATGTCTATGGAGTGTTGGAGGAAACCGGAATACCCGGAGGAAACCCACGCAGTCACCGGGAGAACATGCAAACTCCAGGCAGGTGGTGCCGGGTTGGGATTCGAAGCAGCGACCCTAGTACTGCCAGGCCGAAGTGCCAACCATTTATCCACTGTGCTGCCTTTTTTTTGTCTTTGTGTACCATAAAAATAATAGACAAATCACATAGGGCAAAAAGGTAATGCTCTTTAATATATGTAATTTCTACTTTATAGATTAATATTGGCTACTAACAATTAGGGATTCATTGTCCAGCACCACCTTAATACTACACACGTTTACATGTGACACATTATGTAGTAATGCAATCCGTAAATCCATAGCAAGCAGTGAGCAGATATGATCCACAGTAAACTGAAATGTAATTGGTTACTGTGGATTACTGAACTTGTCTTTATCCTTTCTTCATACAGGCCCAATCACGCCTATGCACACTTGTGTTGCAGCATGCATAGTAAGACACCGGTGTAAGTGTGTATGCATCCACATAGCTTCACTTTAAAAACCTTCAATTTCTTTAGAGAGTAGATGTAAGCCAACCACATAGAAAATATTAGAAATTTTAATTGAAATGCAGATGAAGTCAGATACTTTACTGCAGGAAAATTAGTAAGTTGATGATGTAATGATCAGCTCATTTGATGGTCATGCGCTTTAACCCAAAAGCACTTGTCACATATTGGATTGTTCAGCTGCTTTCTATGGTATCTGAATAATCATCCCTGATATGTTTTTTCTATATGCTAAAGGCTTTCCAAAAGCTGTGCTGCATATAGATGTGTTGAAATTTGAACTTACTTTTTAAGGCCAGATTCGCACTGTATCTCTGCAGTAACACTGTGGGGTTGATTTAATAAACTGGAGAGTACAAAATCTGGTGCAGCTGTACGTGTTATCCAATCAGTTTCTAACGTCAGCTTGTTCAATTAAGCTTTGACAAAAAAAAAAAAAAAAATAGAAGCTGATTGGTGTTCATGCAGCGCTGCACCAGATTTTGCACTCTCCAGTTTTAGTAAATCAACCCCAATGCGTTGGTGCGCTGTGGTGATATTAAAGCATATATATGTTTTTTATACAGACACATCATACTTACCTGCTCTGTGCAGTGGTTTTGCACAGAGCAGTCCTGATCCTCATGCCTAGCGCCCCCCACACCCCCCCACCACCCATGCTCTCTCCTCATTGGCTCACTGGCTGTGAGTGACAGCTGTCTCAGCCAGTGAGGAGGGAGAGACCCTGGAGAGCCGCTGCTCTTGTGCACAACGCTGGATTGGGCTTGGGTAAGTATTGGGGGGGCTGCTGCGCACAGAAGGTTTATTTTTTTTTGTCTTCGTGCATAGAATGCATGAAGGTAAAAAAGACTTTGAGCCTTTACAACCACTTTAAAGTAAAAAACCTTTGATGGTCATCTCCATCCCCTCACTCACCCATACCCCGCCCCCAATAACTTACCTGACCCTGATCTTAATCTGGAACTGCCCTTTCTCTCTTTACAAGACATGGAGGCAGCAGTGGGAGCCATTGTCTCCTGCTGCTGTCAATCAGATCCTGTGAGGAGGGAGCAGAGGCGGTGTCAATAGACGCACACAGCCTGGCTCAGGCCTGAGCCCACACGGGTGCTTCCTATGGGGGCTCTTGGAGAAAACAATGACCCTGGAGCACCAGCAGGGGACCCCAGGAGAAGAAATTCAGGGCCACTTTGTGCAAAACCATTGCATAGAGAAGGTAAGTATGACATGTTTGTTTAAAAAAAATTATAACTTTACAATCACTTTAAGGCACCCAACTCACCTGTGCTTGTTTGTTGCAGCACACTCTAATGCATTTCTCTTTTCTGTGGTGCACTTTTTTGGTGCTTTAGTATGCATGCTAAAGTGTTAACATGCATATGTTAATGCACCTCTGTAGTGTAAAAACAGCCTAAAG